TGTTACCTTTTCATTGTAGAAATGAACAACAATGCTAGGAATGATCTAGGTCTGAGCGAACAGCGTTTTTGAAAACGATAGAGAAAATCCATGTAAATAATATTTTGCATCAAACTTTGTTTCCAATGGTCGTACAAGAAAGTTTTACTCAACTCAATATGCATTAACAACAAGCTACTGAGAAAAAGTAATTTTAGAAAAAGGTATCAAGAAGCAAGACAATTCACAGAAAAAGCTTTATAAGTCAGATATTGTATTTATATTGCTTTTACTCACATTTTTTTTAAACGCAGACACAGTTTATTAACTATCATCACATCAACTCTTGCTCATAAGAAACTTCTGTACAAAATGATTCATCTCGTTCACTGTGTTAAATTCGAAAAGATTACCACTAACACCAATGACTAAAGTGTTCTATTTTGTTCTTTGTATCCAGCGCCTTGAATTGAGACCCACCAGCAAAAAAACGAACCTTGATGAATTCATTCGATCATTTTCATTAGTCAATGATCAAGATAAATGTCTGTTGATTGTTGCAATAGTGTGATCGTCTTACGGTAAGATGTGGTACCATTGATATAACATGTTAGAAGAGCAACCGAAACTGAAAGCTTTGATAAAACTTTCTATTTTCTTTATCGATTCAATGGAATGTAGAAGGTGTGGGTATGTGTTGATAATGGAAAGACCAACACATCTACCACAATACCCACACATACAACAAGCACATCCACACCCGAAACGTTTTGATCTCTACCGAGTATCATTTCTATGAAAAAATAAAACCCTCTGACTACTTCTGATTCGTAGATTGATTTCAGAATTAGGAGACCCTGTTTACCTAACGAAGAAAAAGAATAGATAACAATGCATCATCATATTTTTTCTTTTATCTCGCACTGCATATATGGTATTGTATGCTACATCGACTTGAAACGTTGGGTAAAGTAACAGCAAAAACCTACTGAAGTAATATAACCAAAGTTTTGAATAAGTAAAATATGGATAATACACCATTAGATAATGTGTCGTAGATTACAGCAACAGATAGTGCATCGTCATCTACCGTTAGCGATTTTGATTTGGCTACATGTGATGGTGAAACCGATAAGGTGCAAAAATATTTACAAACAATGACGACAGATTGGATGGATCGTGCTGAAAATCATAATTTCGAATGAGCATGTGAGAATGGTGGTATTGAACGAGTTAAAAAACATTTAGAAACACCACAGAAGCTTCAGTTTGGCCGTACTTATTTACAACTAGCGCACAATTCATGTGACAGTAATGACACTACAAAACTTCGATATTTGTCAAAACAGTTACTGACATTTTATAATTGCAGGTTTGGTGAAATGGAAAAAGTCCAGGGTTATGAAAGAATTCTCACTGATGATTATATTAAATCGGAAATAAAATCGGATAGAGTCAAATGGATCCATTGTACTTCATGCTGCGTCGTTCTACGGCCACAAGAAGATAGTTATTTTGATCCTCAATCATCCATAATACTTCTAGAACTATCCGAAATCGATTCAATCTAACGCCATTCGATGAAATGAGTCGTCTAGTATGTGACAGTTACTATATATGCAACTAGCTATTTTTGCAAAATCGATTTGTGTATAAACACAAGCCTAGGTAGTCTAAAACGAAGTGACTAAAATTTCGACGTCACGATTTTCGATAATTATCAACTTTTTCAGAATAATTTGAATGAAACTTTTGATGCTAAATCATCTCTCGTTGACCTTACAAATTATCTCCGCTAAATTCCAGCTAGAAAAAAGTTGAAGCATCAGTAATTCGATATGCTCTATCATTGACCGGGTACTAATTTTTACAGTTTATTTTAAATACTTGAGGCGAAAACTGATGAGATCAGACAGTTATCTCATCATAAAAATGTATCACAGCGTTTCGTGAGCGGGCAAGATGGTGTTCCTCTTGAATTGATAAAAGTCGATTCGAAACTTATGGATTGGATCGACAAAGAGCGTCGGTTATTGTCTTCCTTCATTACGATTGATCCAAGTAATACTAAAGCAATCCTTTTGGTTCGAAGCTTCACGTTTGAGAAAGGTTTTTACGGAGCACTCAATCGTGAATTAACCAATGAACACGGGAGCTATCGTGGCACACACTCAAATGATATTCATTCGTTGACTGTGTATATCGAAGTATGCGAATGACGTATGATGATCTCCAACAATATTCGATGGGCATAGAACTAATGAGTAAAGCATTCATTTCGACTTCAAGAGATCGACAATTAATAGAACACTTCATCAAGAACAAATATAGATCATAAACAGTTTGTCCTATCTATCTATCAAATTCATTGTCGTCAAACAGCAATAGGTGTTGAAACAACATCAGAATATCCACTCGAAAAAGAAATACTCATCATGCCTTGGTGTATATTCAAAGTGTCAAACATTACTAGGAAGGATTCGAATAGTGTTGAAATTGTACTTCCTGAACAAAATTCTGAGGTTTGTGCTAGTAGCTGAATTCAACGAGCTTAAACAGAGAGTTGCTTAATCACAAAAGCAGAGATTGCATCGGAAGAATGACATTATAATGACTCGTATTCGAATAAGAATAATGGGGAAACTCTGTCATAAAAGCACCGAAAATAGATTTTGCAGAAGTTATTCAAATTGTTACTTTGAATTATATGGAAACGGTTTAAAAACGATAAAATTTTAATATGTGACACAAAATTTTTCCCCATCACTTTTGTTCATTTTCGAACCGTTTTAAAACAATTTCACCCATGCAGCATCTTGGATGTACGATTAGATTGTTAGAAAAGAATTCAAGTGATTTTTCTATCGCGAACATAATCACAAATTGTTAGTGGAAAAGAGTAAGTAAGACAATTATGTGAATCGATCACAAATAATGAGTTTAAAATAGTTCAATACTCTTTCACTATGTTGCTATGATATTTGTACTACAGATGTGGATGTGGGTTTAAGCTCGTCTTCACTTAAAGTTTGCTTCATTTTTCGTTTACCATTTCTCTTAGAATAAAATCACTCGAATTATATAATTTACTTTGTGATTATATCGATCTAAAATGGATTCATACGAATATCTCTATTAAGAAAAAAATTTGACTAATTCGAAACTTTTGTTTAATGATTCAAACTAAACCTGATTCAGTTATTTCGAATATGACTCTATCTGTAATTCATAAAAAGCATTGGAGAAATAGTATGCTGACTCTCAAAAGATTCATACGATGATGCTTTAATAATTATGAAAGTATTAATCAGAGAAGGAGGCGTATAAGAACCATTTTTAGGCCATAGTTAATTGTGATTAGTTCATGGTGTAACAGATGCAGAATTTTACGAGAAATCGTTTAATATCAAAATAAATCTAATTTAGAAGTATCTAGAAGGACTTGTGTTATAAATACTGAGGTGTTTTTCTGTACTATAAATGTACGATTCATACACGAAAGAATCAGGCAAGTACCTTTTCCAAATGAGTCATTTCGAATCAAAAATTATGTCAATTGACTACCTATTACATAGTCTATTTTTGGTAAAGATTTCAGCCGGAACGGTTGAAGGTTTCCTGAGCAATGACGTAGACATTGATCCAAATGAGCATGAAAATCATTTAGTTATATTATCATTTTTGTTCAATTCTGCTTACTGTTTTCTCAATCTCTCGATAAAGGAGAAAAACAACATGGGCTTTTGGTTAATTCTGGAAGCTCGAAAGAAGAACTACAAAACCCGATATATTTCGATTGTTTTAGAAGCGATCTTCATTTAATAAAACAACCTGAATTTTTGTCAGACACGGATTTTTTCGCATTTTCACAAATCTTCGACCTGTTTTCATTAGAAAAGGTAGTGTTTGAGTCAAATCTAATAAGATATTTGAGATCAGCGTACAGAAATATGTTAGTTAATATGTGTTTCAACATTTTCTGATGAACTTATTTTTCTCGAAGATATTCATCTGGGGTAACCCTCAAGAGTCAGTCGAAAAATGGAATTTACTTAGAAGACCATTTGATCAATGAAAAACAAACTCTAAATCCATAAAAACATGACTAGCGCACAAAAAACACATCAATTAAGGGTAAAAATCGTGCTTCGTTGAGGATGTGGGTGTCAATATTCCTTTTCTCTACACTCACATACCATTCAAGTCATCATACAGAGAACAAAAATAATCGTTATTATGTTGTATTCGGTTTTCCGTAAAGAATACTTTTAAGACAAAGGATAGAATTAAACTAATAGTGACAATAATATCGTACAATATCCAGAAGGAAAAAACCAAAGTCATGAAATATAAGACAATTGAGTTTAGTATCTTTCATGAATTCGAAAGTACGATAGATCCATGTACGTCGGTGACATCGAATGCATGTAAACTCTTTTCTTCTATTCCATGTTCGTTGAATGCGAATGTCATCTGTTTGCAAACCTCCAAGAGTATCAACTTTATTGTACCAAAATGTGGAATGTTTGAAATCTCGCATGAATTCATAAATTTGTCCCATCGTCGAATAAATGTCGAGAAACATGACGTGTTCGGTTGGAATAGTCTTTTGTGCAATATCCAATGCTTTCTCAGTATGATTAAGTGCCCGCTCTAGATCTCGATGCCGAAGCTCGAGCAACAGCTTTGCAAGACTCAAATGGTAAAATGATAGATCTGGATGAAGTGGTGGTAGCGTATGATTAGCCACATTTAAAGCCTTCTCGTAATATTCGAGTGATACGCGATAGTACTTTCGTCGCTCAAAAAGGCCTGCCATGTTTGAATAGCACATTGCAATTCTAGAATGATTTTCTCCAAAGTTTTTCTGATAGATTGTTAAAGCCTTATTATACGAGTCAAGAGCATGTCTTCGCTTATGCTGCATTCTATATAAATTACCTCGAACCAAATGAATGTCAGCTTCAATTCGATGGCTGATGAATATGTGACTTTCGCACTGCTTGAGCGCTCGGCCATACCAGACAGCACTTTCTTCATATCGACCTGTATGTAAAGCCACATTGCCGATATTTAGACAGTAGCGAGCCCGATTTGAATCATCATTAGAACTTTCATGATAAATTCGACGAAAAAATCTGTCTGCTATATCAAATCTATTCATATTAAATAGAACAGTACCAAACGAGTTCAAACTTGCTTCTTTATCTTTTCCTACTTGTTCCCCACCGTATTCATTGCGTAATGTCTCAAAAAGTGGTTTCAAATCATTCTCCTCTTTACTACAAAGCTTCATTTGTATTGTTGAGAATGAGTCTCCACTAATCACATCCGTAATGTGAAAAATACTTCCAGCCATGAAGAGTATTTCTTTTTCTTCTGGAAATTGACTAAATCTTGATACATCAGCAAAGGGTTGTACACCACCGATAAGTTTCGGATCAGCATAAATTTCAAATAATACATTTACTTCATCATCAAGATTATTTCCATTAATGTAAAGTTCGGCAACACTCGATTCAAGGCTAGTTGAAAGAAAGGAATTCATTGAAATATAATGATTTTTTGCTTCAAAAAAATGTTTCCATTCGTCTTTCGAAAGCCGCTGACCACGATAAACAAGCACAGGTAACTGTTCTTGATAAAGTACAAGTTCTCTTTCCATATCTTGTAAAATGAATCGAAAGAGAAAGAGCAAATCAATATTTTGAGTGCGAAGAGCTTTATTTAGCAGACGATAGACAAATGCATCTTTTGTGTACCATTCAAAGACTTTCTCAGCTTCGTATTTGAGATGAAAATTTTCCACTTTTTTCAGTTCAGTTGCATTAGTGGCAAAAAGTTCGCTACATCGAGCGATCAATTCATCTTTATCGTTTAGTTTACGCTCCATTCGAAGAAGAATATCGAGAAGCAATTGTGTAAATAAGAATCGCCCGTTAATTTCATTTGAAGAAAGTTCCGACGCTTGATTGCCTGAGAAAATATTTATGCAGAAAAACTCTTTAGTGCTGCGTAGAAAACGAGCTTCAAATAAACGAATTCGATTGGCTGCTTGATCTAGACTAATATGTTTGACCTACAAAAATGATTCATTCATATTTTCATCATCAGAGCCACAACTCACTTTGACATATGCAGGAGATATGTGACTGCGATCATCAGTGCTTGTTGTTGCGCGGTGAACAACGAAGATTACTTTGATTGGACAGAGACAATGTGCAACATTAATTATATCTTCTGCATATTGGTCTTCAACCATAAGTATTACTTTAGCATTTGTTGGCAACTTGTAAAGATAATCACCACACTCGAAGAAGTCTTCGAAAAAACGCATATTGTATCCTTCCAAAGCTATATATTGTTCGAAGTATTGTGGGTCTTGGAGTAAAATGGATTGAGGGGTCTCATTGAGCCATATAACATCGAAATGTTCGATGATAGCATGCTCTTCAATATCATGCTGATTAACATGCACGTAATATTTCGAACCTTAGGTATAAGAAAGAGATCATCTAATTTTATTGTAATAAACCAGATAGAATAGTTTACTTTTGTCTCCCATTACATAAAAAAGCTAAGTATGTTGCCAGGCATCGTACTCTTTTTTTTTACTTGTTCTCATGTTCTTTTACTTCCTCCGAATAAAATTTCTGTTTCATGGCAATGAAATACGTTTTTTTTTCTTTTTTTACTTTTCATTAATCTTGTTGGAAATTTCCAAGTAGAAGAGAAACGAACTCATCGACACGGAATGAAGTGCAGCCATTGACTAAGAAAAAAAAGAATATTGAAAAATTTCACAGTTTTTCAATAAAGTGGGGTTGTGAGATGTGGAAGAGAGGATAGGAATATATGTAGTATGTCACAACGGATGTAGATGAAGAGAAGAGTGAAATCTAGACCCACACTCACATCTCAATCGAACATTGAATTTACTTGCAGTCAATTCGGTTTCCATCAGATAATCTCTGTTTTGAAGAGATAAATCCTGTATTTACTTCTCTTACACTCCAGAAAGAGAAGGAGAAAGTGGTTGATAGTCAGTCATGATTTAGTTTTGCATCTGGTAGCTACGTGTTTTTTTACAAAGTCAACAATAAAGGCGTGCGTCGAAAGCAAAAAAAAATACTATGTTTGTTCGGCATTTTATTGGTTTTGATTTCATCTTCTCTTGAGTCTGAGCTTAATTGGTCCATTTGGCATAAGCGTGTTTCAATAGATTTGTTGGTAAAAGTCTATTGTTTTGATCATCTTTATCTTTAGACTTCTCCTAGAATCGACGATGAAAAACTGGTGCTAGGTGGTAGTAGTATATACATGAAAATCATACTTTTTCACCTTCCAAAGAAAGAAAAGTTTGGTTTGCTGGTTCAAAAAAAAACTCTTTGCGAGAGTGGGGCGTGAGTGTATAAGTGAATGAACACAGATATCACACCCACTTCCCACTCATAAGTGCAACCTCTAAGAGGAAGTCTATTAATGTGATTCAGTCAAATGTTGATGTATTTCTTAGATAAGAAGAGTTTTATATCCGCTTAAATATGTTGAACTTGTTCATTGAAAGACAAACAATAAAAAAACAGTGTGACTGTGGACTTGTATGAAATTAAGACACAAACGTAAACCCCACATCCACATCCTTCAAAACTGTTTTTAATAAATAAAATTGTTTTCTTCAGATATTTTCACAAAATTTTCGATATAGAAAAAGTAAACATAATTTTTTAGAATTGAATGGACTTGTTATGGCTCGAACGAAAGATTTTATGTATTTAAGAAGAAAATCATTACGTTGAACATTTAAATTTCATCAATTAACATTACCTGAAAGGTATGATAAATCAATCGTTATAATTTATCTCGAAAATGATTAAACTAGTATGTAATTATTCATTCGTATTTTACTTGGTAAAGAATTCTTTTTCGGTTGTTATAAATAAAATATTTCTTTTAAAACCAACTAACTATCTATTAGTTGACTTTATGCATCAATCAACAATTGAAAGTCTTATGCGTCTTCGTCTACAAATCCTTTCATCAAACGAATCAATCGATTATGTTCGAAAAGTCTAACAAATAGTTCGACCATTAGCAAACACAGCAGTATATACTAGTAGTTTAAAAGCAAAAATATCTCTTCCAATCGATGAAAAAAAGAATTTCTTTGAAGAAATCGAATTTTTTTTATTATAGTTAATTTAGATAATTCGAATTATCCTCGTTGTGTTTATGTAGGTTATTCGAAAAGGAATGAAAAATGAAATTTTATTTATACTATTGCAAGACTTCTATTTATTCTTGAAAAGCGTCATTTTCATACTGGAATTCCAATGAAAAAGAATACAATATGAATGTGGTTTTGGGTGCACTTTTAGCCCACCTATACTCTCAAAACCGTCTTTTTTATATAGCTATTTTCCTTTCGATTAATTTCAACTGTTTTGACAACATCGATTAAGGAAGGATCGATCATATGTGAGATAAAGTTGACTACTTTTCACTAATTCAACTTGATACATATAAGAGGAGAACATCGAATAAGTGTGGTAGCTGTATTGCGACAATCAATGTTGAGAGATAAGATGTTCGAGTGAAGTTTTGCCATAATACGATTAAAATGTATAGTTTTGCTATCAAACCTTATGAGAATTACCTTAAATGTTCAAATGAAGACTACGACATATTATATGAATAAAGTGAAATTCTTGTCGATTAATGAGATATTTGCACATATTTTAATGTTGAAGAGTTATTGTTAATTGATTATTAGTACAATATATCTTTGAGTATCTTTTTATGTTTTACTTTTTCAATTTGATATTCGTCGATGGGACCTTTCGAAACAGCTTATGAAGCAAGTTTCATTCAAATTACTAATCGAATTGTTGAAATATGTCTTCAAGACTGCCTGCACTTGCTGCTGAACTAAAGCACATACAGTTCACATCAACCACAACACTTCACTCAAGACTAATGCTTGATTATTCAAAGCTCAAAGACAGTAAGATATGCCTAGTTATGCTACACCCTCATTTGGTTTTCAAAAGAAAAATTGAAAAAACTTATATTAGTCGTTGATTTAGCCGAGGTAGGCGCTACACAGGGCAAGTGAATGGGTGAATGACGAGAAGACCCTCATCTATCGCCATTGTGAACAATGTTCATCGAGATGTTTCAAATAAAAAGTATATATTGCATTAAGAACAGACACATAAGAGTAGATTCTTTTGAGAAATTAAAAAAACGTTGCTTGATCACTATTTCAACTGAAAGAAAAAAAATCAGTCCTCATTGTATTTTGGGCATCGTATAAATCATCCCTCCGAGATGAAACGAAGGTTGACTAATGCGCATGTTTTATTTGCGTCGTTTTTGCTCAATGACGATGCGTTTGCATACGGTATCTTGAAGTAGTTTCTCTCACTAGAGTTGTAAAAGATCTCGAAGCAATCGGCGAATGACGCATTTTCTTCACTATCAAAAATCATTTTTTTCTCTGACTTACCAAAAAAAACACTTCACAAAATCAATATTCATATGAACGGAAGCTATGTCACTATTGCTTAACAACAGTGGCATGATATTTCAATGCCATTGTGAAAGGATATTTTGTACAGCATTGCTGTATACAGTAACGAACAGGAATACTAATGAAAGGCATTCTTAATCTTCGATTACTACATTATGAAAAACTGTTCATACGAGATAGGATAGGGTGTGGGTGTGGGTGTGGGTGTGGGGTCTGGGTGT